CAAAGAAAGGAAAAAAAGAAACTGTCACATTTACAGAATATATGTGCTCATGCAAAATACAAACAAAGTGCTATGTTGTATCCCCTTTATCTTTTAATAAAACCTGTCCCATATTATCATGTATGGCAAACATACTGCTTAAATTTCTAAGGGAGGTACTGGCTGCACAAAAGACAAAAGATTCAAGAATTTAATGATATTGGAAATGTAATACGAAGACTAACATCAATTGGAAATACATGTGGTATGAACATTTTGAGGTAATGAATAATATATGCGGCTGAAACTTAAAACAAGAACAGCTAAAACTGAAAAAAAAAGTTTGGTCTTAATAAGCAGCTGGACATGACAATAGTCAAAGCTATCCTTTAAAATTTATGGTGTAAACACTGTTTACTTAATATCGGTACAAGTCAAAGATCAGTTAAACACCACAAGCTCCAAATATCATTGACAATATTCTTAGCTCAAGATAGACTGCTCAAGCCATGTAATCCAGTAGGCCTGCCACAAAACTAAATACTGATCCATGAATTTATAAGGCAAAATACCACACAATTCAGAAAAATTAAATTCCTTACTTCCTTTATACAAAGTAGTTCTTATACTACTTTCTGTAGCTCAATATTCAGAAAAATATGATTAAAGCTAAACGTTTGATTTAAATTACTAAAGGAAAGTATGGTTACAATTTGAAGAAAACTATTCTGAGCAAAGTAATTTTTTTCTTTAAGCCATGCATGAAATCTTAAAGGACAGAGAAAATCGATTTTCCAATTGGATGCAAAGGGTGGAAGTAATAAATCTAGTACCAATATAAAGAGTACAAACTACAGATAAAAAAGCTCTTTTATATATGAAGATTATAGCAAAATTTAGCCTAGGGTTTTTTAATTTTTTAAAATTAAATATCTGTACCAACAAATGTTCTAAAGCAAAACAAAATATAAACAAACTTTTTAGAAACATGGATGTAAAACAAAAACATAAAAATTGTACAATGAAAGCACTCACATCACCCTTTATGCACCAGTGAAAGTGAAAATTAAAACTGTATGTTATTAAAGTGTGGTTTTGACGGCTGACATGAATGAGATAATAACAAGGGAAATATTGGCCTGCGCCCTGTTGCAAACACTAAACTAAAGTCTAACAAATGTTGGGTCAGAGTGCAGTGTTACTATGCACTTGCTGCTATACTAAAAGTGAAAAGACCGAATGTGTTAATGTCTCAAAATAAAAGTGAAAAATTAGAGTCTTATAAAGACTGAATGTGCTCCATTATAAGAACAAAAGTGACTGCAGAACAGAATTAGAAGCATTAGTAAGTGAAAAAAATGTTTAAAAATTGTTTTTTCATTACGACAGTTGGTCCAAAAGATGTAGCCATTGGATACTGTGTTTTGTTGAAATTTTGGAAAAGATAATATCATGTGAGAGGCAGATAACAAGTTTCATACTCGCCACACAACTCACAATTCAGTCAAATATTCCAGAAGCATGAAAAAGGAGCAACATAGATTGAAGTAACCCATATCTTTAAATAGTATGTTTCACAAACTACTAGCAAGGGCTTATCATTTATCAAGATGGTTTCATACTTAAAGTGAGTATTTGGTATTGAAAATAGACTGGACAAATACTAAACAATGCAGTATACATCGACAATACAAGAATGGGTTTTGCAAGACAGCAGAATTCTACACTGTGTACATTGTCAAATACAGATGGGAGATTAAAAGTACATGTGTTAGCTGTATCCAGTTCATTAGAGACCCTTCATTTAGTGAAAAGATGAAAGAAAGATATACATGGTACACGTGACTCAACCACACTGACATATACTCACATATTGGCTCTGGTCCCGATCTCCATCCTTTGACCCCACATACTCATAAACAAAGCAAATATTTGGGTTATCCAAGACGGAATAGTTGTTGCCAACATCAACAAATAATCCTGTGAAAGACATGAAAAAGAAGGGTAAGCGCTCCACCTATCATTCATGTTGAATAATGTCTTTTTGTATATTTGCTATACAGAGAAAACAAAAACAAAATAATAAATAATAGCATTTTTTCAATCCTACATTGTCTTTAATTCAAGCACCTTAGGCTTAAAATGATGAAAGAAAACATCACTTTATTTCTCTAAATATAAGCGATTATGAGGAAAAATCACAACAATCTATGCTTATACTTTGCCAACATGTAAAATGCACATAGCACATCTCCCAACCTATTATGAGCTCTGTGAACTTTGCTCGTATGCTGTCTGGTAACAGCTCTGACTGAATGCACAAGAAGGCATCTTCCCAAGTGATGTAGCCAAATTCCCGAGTGATTGTGTGGATAGAAAAGTCATTACGACCCTGGAATGAAAGAAACAGTAGGTTAATTTTGGTAGAGAAAAGCATCCAATTTCAGCTGACACTCGCTGCTTACTGTAAAATGAAGAGTTCTCTTTTAATACTACTTACATCTACCCAATGCTTTACCATATAGAGGACACCATAATCAGAAGTACACATTTCCAAATAAGCAAAGATAACATACATTTTGGTAAAAATTTCCTTTATCGATAAGCACTCCTTCAGACTGTTAGAAACTGTTATCACTTTATTCTTATTCAAATGAGATTCTTTGATAAAGCGTACACTTTTTCTTCTTCTTCCTATCTTTCCCTAAAGTAGAATGTTGCTTCTTGGACCTTCCTGCGATAGGCTACAACACTATCTGTCTCTAGTGTATTCTACTGGCTTTAATTTTAAAGGTACCATACTGACTTTGTGAAAATGCAAGAAGTACTAAGTTCACAAACAGACTGACTTACAAAACAAAATGCTTTCATCAGATCCAGCTGATGCTGCAAAAACTTGTTTTTCTCTGGGTCATACTCTGCAGTCTCTGGCTGCGATATATGGGATACAGTAAAAAAAAAATTAATGGCATATTAATTAAAAATGGAGAAGCAGCAACTATCTCTGCCTCAGTCCCTCAGTTCAAATTGAAGGACGAGGAGTAGAGGGAAAAGGAGGAGGAGGAGCAAGGGGTGGGAGGGGAGATGCAGAGTGGGGA